ACTCGAACCCGGGTCTTTCGCTTGCCGGGCGACTGCTCTAAACCACTGAATTACCTAGGCTCCGGCCCCAACACACTCTCTCTTGTCTTCTTATTGATGTTATTGTCAAGATGCCGTGTGTTACCTCAGTTCGGTCTACATCCTACATATACAGGGTGTAAAAATTAGACCGACAAACTTTGAGAGGAAATAGAGGACATAAAAACAAACATATTTTGTTAATAATGTTTTTCTCTACGACGCTTCGTTTTAATACTACAGAGTACAAAATAGGAATTTTATGATTTTAACAAAAAACATATAAGTGGAAAAATTAAATTTATTTCAATTACACATATATATTTTAATCTTCAAAAAACAATAAACAAAAGAACAGAACAAAAATGCGCAATTGATTAGCTCAATTTATAATAAATGTTCAAAAATTCCTCCATTTGCTTCAAAACAAAGATGACATTGTCGAATTTATGAGACACCTATTGAAACAGAAGCAGAATTGGTAGCCCGAATTACTGCTGCAGCATATCAGGTTCAAAATATTCCTGCAGTCTTCGAGTGTGTGAGATAATCAATGTTTTGACGATGTTATCTTTGTGTTGAAGTAAATGAAGGAATTTTTGAACATTTATTATAAATTGAGCTAATCAATTGCGCATTTTTGTTTCGTTCTTTTGTTCATTGTTTTTTGAAGATTAAAATATATATGTATAATTGAAATAAATTTAATTTTTCCACTTATATGTTTTTTGTTAAAATCATAAAATTCCTATTTTGTACACTATAGTATTAAAACGAAGCATCGTAGAGAAAAACATTATTAACCAAATATGTTTGTTTTTATGTCCTCTATTTCCCCTCAAAGTTTGTCGGTCTAATTTTTTTACATTCTGTATATACAAAATGAATATGTTGTAGAGATATAGTACGAAATAAAAATCTTACTGTTTTATTTCTTACTGTGATATTTGCAATAATTAACGAGATATTAATTAAAGAAGATTTATGAATAATCACGCGAGATATGGTAGATGAGCTATAGTGAGAATGTCTGCCATCGTGTGCTTGTACATTAAATCAAACTGAACAAAACATTTTTCTATCATTTGCCTAATAATATTGTAGATTTTTAATTATTAATTAAAGAAAGTTGGCGGATGGTCACTCGCAATAATATATTAATGTCATCTAATTAATAACTAAAAATCTAAAAAATTATTAGGAAAAAGATAAAGGACTTTTTTGTTCAATTTGACGTAATGTACAAGCATACGACAGTAGATGTCGCCACTACAGCTCATTTACCATATCTTGTGTGATCATTCATAAATCTTCTTTAATTAATATTTCGATAATTATTACGAATATCGCAAAATGATATAGGACTTTTATGTTCACCTTAATCCGTACTATACTTCCACAAGAGCTTCGAAGGTTATTCGAAGACAGCCTGTATATATTACTATTATTATATTGTTATTATTATTAGATAGCCATTAAATTTAAATTATCGTTTCCACATATCTGGTAATGGCTATTATTAGTTTATCTCTCTTACTTTACTTTGCTTACAAAACCTTTACAAAACCAAATATCGTGTTTGGTCATCCTAGGTGATAACAATTCGGAAACTCGGCCAAACGTGGACCGGAATACGGACGGTCGTTCATCTTTAACCGACGGTGACGGCGCATGTGAGAAAATCACTCACGAATCTTACGGACCTAACGATATAAAAGTTATAAAAAGCGAATTACAGGTACACACACATTAGTATATTGTTCAGCTTATCATTTGAGTTCTTTTCTTAATGTGCCTTCCATTTGGATGAAATTTCGTTGATTAATTTTTAACACGTTGTACAAGTACGCGTTACTTCCCAGCTCTAGTTATCGGTTTGACACAATTAATTAAAGCGTACTTTAATCCAACGCACGGTTCTTATAAGCCTTTCATCTTTATCTCTTTTTGACTTTAATAAACTCATTCCTAAAAAGGATAACGATGAAAATCGCCGGAATTGCAGGACAGCGTCGCAGAGAGTTTCACGGTAATCGCGAATCGTCGCTCGCCGTTGGCCATTCTCGAGGAATACGCGAAGCGGTGCAAGGTGTCAATCAAATACGAGTACAAGCAGAAGCCGAATCTATATGTGATCAACGGTGACCTCTGCGGATTTCGCGGTAACGCTTTATGTCCACACGGACCGCTTTAGGCGGTTGCACGTTATCATCTGTTACGTTAAGCGTGTCAAATATCTCACCTCTTTGCGCAACGACAACACAGGTGCTTTAATATTCCTTTAAACGATCCTATCGCTCCGTAAGTTCATTCGCGCAAGTCTCATCGTTTAAGATTCGCCGCGAGCGTTTCTTCGTGCATCATTAAACGTAGTTTGCATAATGTGCCAGCGATGTCTTGTGCCGCGACCCAAGATCTGGCCAAGAACGAATTGGCAGCGAAAATACTATGGATGGTGGCCGAGCGTCAGATGGATGGCTCGAAACTCTCGTCGTTCGTCTGCGGATTGTCGGATTTTTCGCGAGGGGAGTAAGTTTTCGAGACGAGAGAGCAGCGTTATAAAAGTGATATGTGGTTTCTAAATTTCTTGGAGTGAAATTTGGTAATTATGCATTTTAACAGAGCAACCTCCAATGACCTTGATCTTGACATATGTTATCTTGACATATGTTCACCCTCCTGAATAATCCTCAAAAAGTTTTAGGCAGCGCTCGTTGTTTCTTAAAAAACTATTAACAAAAGAAGTTGCATAAAATGAATGTAATTTTTGGACACCGTATATAAAAACAAAAACAACGAATTTGTAAGTAGGAAGATGCATGCTACACACACATACACACACACTGCTTGGCTGCCTATGCGCTTGCCCGCCCGGCAGGGGGGGCTCGCGGTGAGTGCGTATGTTGCTATTATATATACAGGGTGTCCCGCGGACCAGAAGAAAAATATAAATAGAACACATAAAAGTGAACAAAAATTGTATAGGTCATTTTTCAAACAACCACGTAAAATTTCGAGATATTAATTAAAATAGTTGGACAAATTAGAACGCGCGACGCGACAGGCGGGACATACGGCTTGCAGCGGTCGGCGAAGACAATGGAAGAATGCACACGTACACGGACGCAACACGGAGCTACTCATTTCAATATGCCAAACGGCCCACCTCTCTGGCTTATAAGATAGGCCCGCGAACAATCATCCATTTTCTTCGCCGGCCGCGGCG